TATAATAATTATATTAAATTTCATAACGAAAGTATGTTATTAAAAATGTTGTATAATATTTATTTAGTTATGTGTATTTTGGAGGTACCCTTTATAAAATGGAGGAAATAAAAAAAATTCTTAAAAATGAAAAAATTTGTTATATGTCTATAGGATTAATATGAAATGAAGACTGAAATGAATTACGTTGATCACCTTTGTTTAAATATAACTTTTAAGTTCTACGTACTTAATATTTTATAGTGTTGAGAAATGTTTGTCTTCCTTGTAATGTATAATTTAAAGCTTGTTGTTCCAATATAGCAATTTTACAACAAAATTAAGTATATAAAATAGTGTTAAGATAATAACTCATACCTTTATTTAAAATTTTTTGTATTTTTTTTTTAAATCATAATATAAACATTCACGATAATTATACAGTGATGATTTACACTTATTTATTTTATACTATATTTTAAAGTCATACATGCAAATATTTTCATTAATAATGTTCTCCTAAATTAATCAGTATTCAAAAATACTTTTTCTATCTTCAATATTAATCTACGTACAAATGTCCTCTTTAGGATTCCATATGCTTACTACTGTTATATAATTTATATTTAATTCATTTCATACTTTACAAGGTTATCAACACTTTCATTGTAATTATCTAGATAGATCCTACTTATATATCCTACAACATTTTTAGTTTATGGTTCATATATTATATGAATTATATTTAAATGACGATAAAAACATTTTTGTTAAATACTATCAAGCTTATGTGAATCCATGGAAGATGGAGAATCGCAAGAAAACATATATTAATAAAATGTTAAATAAATATGATTCGCATTTTAGGTGATATATATAAGTGATCCAAAATATGCTCAAAATAAGGAAAACGGAAATACAATGAAGTTCTGGGGAAAAAAGTGTATTAAAAATATATATTTCTTCTATTACTATAATCATACATTATAGGATGAAATGCTAACAAAAATTATCATTTATAACATTTTTATAAATTAATATATACTCATAGAAATAATAATATTTTGAATAGAAAATTATATATAATAAATTTTATAATTAAAAAACTCACTGGTTCCCATTATTATAAAATTACATAGTTTTGTATTAATTATTACGCACTATTTAGTTCAATTAATTAATATAATTTGGTTTTCTTAAGTATATATTTATAAAATGGATAATAGATGTTTGATACTATATATTTAAGTTATTATATTCATCAATATTCCCTTTTAGATTCCTAATATTATATATCTCGTTAATGTTATATATAAAAAATATATCATAAGTAGATTTGAAATTTTCAATATTAACATTTACATACTAACATTTTTAAATGATCATTCTTTATATTTTAATTTTAGGTCCATGTATAATTTCTTAGATAATATATATTAATGTAATTATCTTTTCATTTTAAATATTTATTAATCCTATTCAGAAAAATAGTGTACTATTTATAATAAAATAATTTCCATATGTATGTTTGATCTATGAGTATTAGGTATTATTATATTTTTATTTTATTAATCGATTATCCACACTTCAATCAAATCGATTACATTAATATTATATGAAAAATAGGAAGAATTTAAAAATATTTATATTAGAAATGTTTTATGAGTATACTTATTTAAATTGTTGTATACCATAAGCAATTATAGTTTAAAAAACGTATTTACATAATAACTATGTAAAATTATAATAATAAAATGAATATATACGATTTTATATTTGGATCTATAATTTTATTCATCAAGATGATTTATATTATCTTCAGGGATTCATTGAATCTTATATTTATGATTATTTTTTAATAGCACGTTTTATAATTTTGTATTTCAGTAGGTAAATCATTGTTTTATACATAAATGATATTTATTTTTTGTGAGTGTTATACCTATCAAAAAAAGTTATAGATTATTGAGGCTTCCATTTTTGAGTAAAATAATCAAATTTATCTCAATTTTTGTCGACATTTATTTCATTTTTGAATATTTTTATATTACTCCTTTGATTATAGTATATTTTTAATTATTATATATTTTTTCTGCATGGAAAATATAAATGAATATCGATTCATTTTTGGAAAATTATTAAACTATCCTGATTTCTGTATTTTAGGAAGATTTCATATAGCTAATTATGGATTGAGTGAATGCTGTAACTATTTAGGTATAATTATGAAAATTTGAATTTTTATTATGATTAATAATATAAAAGTTTTGAAAAAAAAAAAAAACGGATACACCCTTTAGAATGGCTTTCTCTAATTTATTAACGTACAATGCACTAAATAATATACAATTTATCGCAAATTTATTATCATACATTTTCTTGAACTTGTAAGATAAACATAAAAATTTTCCCACATACGGATGTTATCCTATCGAAATATTTATGAAAAATATTTTTTTTAGTTAAATATTCTTGATGTTTTATGCACAATTTTGAATTGCAGTGTAATAAAGAATAACTGTTCCATATTATTACTTTTTCCTTATTTCATTCATGGAACTATTCGCTTAATTTACTAGGAAAACAAAAGTTTAAACCGTACATATATAAATAATAAGTATTAAATAATATATCAGAGCTGTAATATAAATCATTTTAATCATGAATTCTTACTATTTGTGATTATTAGGAATATTTCGACCATAGTCAGTAACTATATATAAAGATAATTATGAGTAATGCAAATTATATTTAGGTTTTTATAATTTATTTACAATTATATGTTGAAACATAATAAAAAACATCATTTTAGATGAATATGGCACACTATCTTATATTAAATATGTTTCATTTTGCATTAGTTTTTCAAAAAATATGACATTACGTTGCATTGTTATTCATTGAATTATTTTTGATTCATAAAATTTTCTAATTTTACAAAAGTTGAGTAATAATTCATAGAAGGTCTCTTTCGATGGATCCCAATCGTTTAACAATATTTGTGCTTTTTTCTATATACGATATTTCTTTGTATATTTCTTATATTAATTTATATATCATTTATCTTTTTCATATTTGAATGTTTCCGTTTATTTGTTAGACGTATGGTTCAAATATGTACCCGTATTATATTAGAACATTATTTTTTCTCTATTATGTCACAATTATCTATATCATTCTCATTATATAAGAAGGTCAGGTATAATTTTTTCTCAAGGCACATTCATATAGTATTAATTTTAAAAACAGATAATGTGTTTTACAACATTATTGAAAATGTATTATTATATATATTATTTTATATATACATCATAATGAAAAAATATTTAAGAATATATGTATATATTTTTAATAAAATATTTCTTCATATATTGGCATACATCATAATACATATCATCCTTATATGATATTATTTGTTTCCATGCTTGAATTACTTATTATAATGAATTTAAATGTTATTCCTTAATTTTACACAATTAGTAATTCTAAAAAAGGAAAAATTTATAATGAATCTATGCATTTAACGAAAGGTATATAAATTAAAAAAAAATGAAATGCTTATATAAACATTTAAAGGTAAGAAAATGTTTATTAAATGTGTTAAATTTTATATAATAGGTAGTACATCAATATTTCTCCATTATAAAAATAACATTTATACGTTTTAATTGAGTGTTATATTTCATTGCATGATAATCATATTTATTTGTATTACTTCATTTTCAAATATTCTCATAATTGAGATAAACATAGTATATGTTTTTTTATGCAATCATTATAAATATAATCTTATGGAGAATATATATATAAACTCATTAAAAGTAAAATATAATAACTGCTTTTTTTACGAAATGATATACATAAATGTGTGCAAGGAAAAATAATACACCAAATATGGTGCATGCTTAATTATATATACTTATATAACTATATAAAAATGACATATATTAGTAATATTTTAATTATTTAAATAACCTGCCTTGAATATGGTATATAAAGAACCAAACACAAATATATTACATAATGATGAAAATGTGATGATATATATGAATAAGGAGTTCTAATTATAGGCTTATTTTAATTCTATATAATATAAATAATGTTTATAATATTTAAGTAGAATTAATGGAAATATATTTTATACAAAAAAATAGAAAAAACAAATGTAAATAAAAAACAAAAATAGGAAAATGATGTATTATGCAGCATACATATACTAATACTTGAATATATATGTGCATATCTTGATAGAACACACAAATAAATTAAAACAATTATATATAGTGGAAAAACATTTATAGTAATCTTGTTATATAAAATGTGAATATAATTAAGATGTATTCCAGAGTTAATATTATTTATAGTACGCATAATTAATATATAACGTCTGCACACAATGCATTAATGTATTGGAAAATGTATGACAATAAATTACATATTACTACAAAAAAAAAAAAAAAAAAAATACTTTCATATATTTACATTTTATATAATTTATAAAAATTGAGAAATATATAAATTTGTATATTTCCATATTTTGAAATAATATATATTACATTTATTAATATATATTAGTTGAAGAAATATATATAGAATAGCGCAATAAAAATAAGTAATCTTAAAATACAAAATGTGTGCCTGAATTATAAAAATTTAAATGTGAAAGTGTTGAAACATAAGAAATAATCTCTCATCAATAGTGATAAAAAAAAGCATTCATACTTTTCCTTTTAATAAAAATATACGTTTTCGTAGTATATTATTATTTTTTTTTTCTAGAATTAATTAATATTTTTAAGCCTATACAATTTAGTACTAACATGTTGCTTATATATAATATTAATTCTAGTAATACAAAGAAATTATTAAAAATTAGGAAAATACCAAATACCAAGGAACATACAAATTCTTTTAAAAATTGACACTGAACGTTTATTTAGTATATTAGTATATTATATAATTATATTTTTATTTCTGAATATTTGTGTATCCACATATTACACAGCTCCTTTTTTAATGACATGTCTACAGAGGCAGTGAATTATTTAGAATCATTATGTAATGATGTATGTTTATATTTATAACTAAAGGGTTGATTGACAAAGAATGAAAATATTATGTGTTTCTAAAAACCAATATATAACAATTTATTAAAAGTAAAAATTTTAATATATTTATAATTAATAATTTTTCCCACATTTCAGAATGGGAAAACGACACAGTTACCTTCCTGTGAAAAATATAAAAAATTTAATGATGAAAACAATTGGAACGAATGTAAAGAGTGCAAAGAATGTCAAGAATGTAAAGAAGGTAATTGTATTGAAAAATTACCAGAAAATTACAGGGAACCGTGCAAAAAAATATGCAATGGATTAAAAAAACTATCCACTATTTTGAAAGATGAAAAAAGTATACCAGATCGTTGCTCATATTATAATTACTGGACATACGAACAATTATGGAAAGATTCTAAAAATAGTTCAAATATTAAACTTGATCCTTCTGTTAGTTCCATATTGCAGAAGTTAATTTGGTGCATTAATCGTGGAAATTGTGCAAAGGAAAATCCATGTTACTTTTATTTTGATGGAACTTTCGATGAATGGAAAAAAGAAAAATATATGCATGACTATTTTAAAAATCATGACAACATAAAAAATGAAAACAAACCTGATGAATCTGAAAATGGGAAATACTGTAATTATGTTACTTCTATTGTTCCAATATATGAAAATTATTTAACTGATTGCTGCACATATTTTTTCTTTGGTTATCATTGGGATCATTGTCCAAAATATTTTAAATGTAAGAAGGATCTAAATCCTTACAATCTTTTGAAGAAATTGAATTGTAGTAATATGTCACTACCCGAATATCCAGAAAGATTAGTGCAATCATTAACTATTGATTTTCATGCTATACTTAAAAGTCGAATAAAGGTAATTAAAGGTATAATATTAGACCCTTTCTATATTATCACATTATTTGCTTTTTCGGTTTTAGGGATATTATTTTTTTTCTTTGTGTTTTATAAAGTAAGTAAATAAATAAATAAATAAATAAATAAATAAATAATTTTTCTTCTATAAATTTGTCATACAAATTATTTTACATATGTGAGTAAAATTAAATATACACAAAACAGAAGTACTGCGTCTTTTTTGCATGACGACTTTTCTTATTAGTTTACACCTTTGAGATCATTGGTACATAAGAATACAAATAAGAATAAGGAAATGAAGCATAATTTTCATAAAAATTCTAAATATAAAACACAACCTAGGAAGTTACAACCAGGTCATGGGAATGATCGAAAAAAAAAAAAAATTAATATAGCTTATAATTCTACATGAGGACGTTATTTCGAAGTTATTCTTATAAATTTACTGAGGATATATAAGATGTAATAAGTGAAATATACATGTACTCTATATTGGACAATTTATAGCACCCATGAAAAAAAATGTGTGTGATTATATTTTTACAAAAAAATGTAACTTTCCTTTAAATTTTTTACTTTTACTAATATTTTTTTTTACTTTTTTTTTTTTTTTTTTATAGGTTTATAAAATTATTATTATTTAAAATATTCTCTTTTTTTTACTTGCATGTTAATTTTTTTAAAAACATCTATATATTTTTCTGTATAGATACATTTTTCAATGTTTTGATTACGTTTTACATGTTAAGAAACAAATAAATATTAATATATATGTTCTTCATTTTTTCTCTTCTTTTATAATAGGGTGAATATAAGTGGGATAATACATCTTTATTTACCCCAATATATAAACGAGGCAAAATAAGATTTTTAGTTAATGCTTTGCTGAGATCTTCATACTAGGACCACTTTAGTAATATTAATTAGCATTTCGATGAGACAAAGTTCATTAATCATTATTTTGTTTTAATATAAATTTTGGAGAATGCATACATTGTTACAATTGTTGTGTCTATGTAACTGGTGTAGCATATTTTACCCAGTTGATGATTTTTCAGATATAATAAAACGAATTATATTTTTAATATTATCAAAATTTGTATGTTATTAAATTATGGTAGAGAGCTCTACTTTTTTTATAAAGTATAATTTAGCACCTTTATAAAGAGTGTTCTGTTTGAATAAATAAAAAAATACTTAAATGAATTACCACCCATTACAATATAAGAAATTATTAGAAAAATATACATATGTAATTTCAAGTGCTTATGTTATACATAACTGGATTCATTTATTTTATAAGCAGTAAATGTAGAGCCATTTTTTTTTAAAGATTAAAGTTATCATTTGGGATGTTGTACTTAAATGAATAAATTATTTAACGAGAATCAGGATTAAAATGTTTGAAAAGAAAAATATATGAATGTAGAGATTATGAAAAAAAATTAATTATAGAAGCACAAAGATTAATTATCACTTTTATATGCATTTGCTATAACTCACACATTAGGGAAGAACAATATGAGACAATATCAAGTATGGTAACACTTGTAAGAATGAAATTAGGGATTTACAATTATCATGAAATTACTCTACATAAGTTCTAGACAGATACATTTACGAATAGGTAAAAACGAAAATTTCCCACATTTGGAACATTGTAAAGTGAGATTATTTCAAAATATTTTTTAGAAATGATTTCATAAATTATTATAACAAATAAAATGTTACAAAAATGTTTTGTTGTATCAATTAGAGCACTCATTAATTCTTTTGTCTCATGAAATGTCAAAATTGTTATTGTTTATCCATGAAAAGTATATGTGTGACATTATATTATTATTGCACTATTAAATTTCAATCAAAAAAAATTGTGGTAAGAGAATTACAAAAAAAGAGATAATACTTAAATAGAAATACACTAAAAACCTATTTTTAGCTATTGTAGCAAGCATGAATAATATCATAGAAAAAAATACACAACCCACATATGTTATAAAAGGATTCATACGATAAAATATGCGATCTTATAAGTTTCTATTGGTTCAGGTTCCCAGAACATATTAGATCAATGATGATTTTTATTTTATTTTAAAATTTTTTTTACTTTTTTTTGAAAATATATTAAATTCACTGGGATGTATTAACACATTAATACCTTACGTAAAGTGTTGATTAAAAACGTGCAGATATTATAATAAATGAAAAAAAAAAAAAGGTAAATATTAAAACAGTTCCTTTTTTATCTTTATTTCTGAATTGAATAGAATAACATTATCATTTTATCGCAATTTATACCAAGTGTAATAAATACGTAACTTATGTTTTTAAGAATTTTTATTTTCCTCCATATAAAATATAAGTTGTAATAGCCACAACAGATAATTTATGAAAAAAAAAATTGTTTTATAAGCATTTTTATAATTTTATATATTCATATTATAAGGAAAAAATAATATATTTTTATTGTTTTAAATTTGTATCTACGTTTTAAGTAGAAAATTTATGATGTAAATTACTTCACCCATCCAATGTAGCACTGATTCCCATGCCTCAAAACAGAAAGTCTCATTTTCTTTATAAAAATACCTTTTATTCTGTATATTTCCCAAAGGGTTATTTTATTTATTATATTTGTAAATTTCCTATATTAACATTGTAAAAAAAAATTTGGGTATTATAATTAATATAAAAATATATTAATTTATAAATGTTGCTTTTTAATAAAAAAATGTCAAAAATGAAAAAAAAAAAATGGCTACCCATAATGTGTGCAATCATTTGAATGTTAACCAATTTATAATTTAAAAAATTTAGATAAGAGAAATTTTTATTTTTTTGTCACAAACAAGTTGCCTATAAAGTGTATTTTTACATGCTACATGATAAAAGATTTATTCATAAAATTTATTTTTTCCTGGAAGTTTGTTCTTTAATAATGCCTATAAAAAGACAACGTGCATTAGCTTATTATTATTATAAAAAAAAAAATAATTAAATAAAATAAATTTAAATATATGTATTTTTATGTAACTAAAAATAAAATAAATACTTTCATTAAAGTGGATAAGTAATGATCACCTATGGAAAATAAATTATTTTCAAAATTATATTAAAAAAATAAATAGATGTATAAATAAAGCACTTTGACAAATATTATTTTATTCTATCTTTAGGTATATTCCAAATTATACATTGACATAATAAATTAATGTTATTATTTTGCACATCTTAGAAAAACAATATTTCATCATATGATATATAATATTCCACATGTTATATGATAGCTATTTTTATTTTTTTTCTAAATGAAAGGAGTTCATTTTTGTCTTCATGTTCAATTGAGCTGTCCTTTCAAGTTTAATAAGAAAAAAAAAAAATATATGTTGTTATGACTCCTTTTACTTTTTATAATTATGGAGAAAATAGAATGTATTATATGCGATAAAAAGATGTTATTGAATTATTTTCTATAAGGAACAATATATTTGTTAATAGAACTAACACCTGTTATTTCTTTTACGTATCTAAATATTGAATGGAGGAAAGGTATAGTAAATGGTTGAATCAAGTATGCAATTATTTTTTATTCTAATATTTGAATGTGTCGATTTACTTAAATATTTTATTTTGTTGGATATTCAAAAAATACCTTATTTCTTTAATTATGAACTTATTAATTTATGTGTATGTTTGTCCACTTTATATTTTTAGTATCCCTTTTTGAATCAGTGGTCTATAGGGGACTCAGATAAAGCGTTAACTAAAGAAGATGTTACTAATTATGAACTGACTTTTATTAGTGATCCAAATAATATAGCTGATTATAATGAGAACTATTTTGTATTTGCCGGTAAAATTTCAAGAAATTTAAAAGAACTTATTAAGTATTTAAATAATGATTTTAATAATAAATGTAGAAATTTAAATAACTGGTTTTACGTTATATGGAAAGAGCACGGTCACCATTTTGAAGACATAAAGGATGTACTGAAATTAATAGAAAAATCTGGAAATAATGTTTATAAGCAAAATCACTGTACCTTTGATTGGTTATCATATGAAAATGAGTTTGAGAACATAATAAAATTATACAATTTTAATGAATATGCTCCTATCATTAAAAATAAAATTAAAGACATAGCAGAAAAAAACTATAATGATTTTTGCGAGTATGTACATGGATGTATAAGTACATATAATAAATTTAATGAGAATTATTGTAAGGATGGCAAGGATAAAAATAATAGCACTCTGTGCAAGGAATTAGAATTGTTTAAAGAAAATTATGATTTATATGTGTCATCTTTGGATGAATTTTTGGGAAATTTTCCATCAATAGAATTGACACTGAATGGCTATAAAAAAAAATGTATACCACCTAATAAAATGGGTTATGGTCGAAGATCTAATACTAGTGAAACTAGAAATGTTCAACAAAATTCTGATAATTTAGGACACAATAATGGAGGTACCAACATTGACACTCGTTTTAATACATGTGACTCTGAAACTCAACGTGCTACACATGTAAAGGGAAATTCATTTTTTTTTTTTATAATAATTTTTTCACATACGAATAAAAAAAATTTATAATTTTTTTTTTAAACAAAATGTTTACTCTTGCTTATACTTTATTTATAGTATCACATTTTTGATAAATTTCACATATATAAAAGTAGTGAAGATGGCTCTCAGAATATATCTGATATGAGTGGACTTACTCTTTTTTGCAACGAAAATAAAACTTCAGTTTCTAACTGGGACAATAATGTAAAAAATATTTGTAAAAAATTTATATTATTTTTTATTAATTTACGCACCCATATGCTTGAATCTCGTATAACTGATTGTAACTATGTTAAGTTCTTAAATTTGTGGTTAAACAAAAAATTAAGAGAAAGTAGTGAAAATGAACAATCCAGAAATAATTTTTACAACTATTTAAATGAAAACACAACAAGATTTGATGTAAATAATGAATTAAAGGATAAAATAGCTGATATTCCTTCCGATAAATTCGAAAAATTGGATATACTGTATGAATTATATGATAATTACAATCAAATCGTAGGAGAAGAAATACATATAAGTGAAAGGAAACAAAAATGTTTGGGTTATGCAAGAAAATGTGTTGAGAAATTAAGTGAAGCTATCAATAAATTTGATGAGGATAAAAATAAAGATTTTTTTGAAGCATTAAAAGAGTTTAGTTATATATATTCATATGGTAAATATAATACCAAATCATGTGTAGATATAGAATTACCACAATTACCAAAATTCAAGTCATCACAAAAGACAACAAAAGAACAACGTGATCAGGAAACCCTTGAAGCGTGTGAAAATGATGGAACCAAACTAGAAATTATAGATCTTCAAAAAATGGACAAATATGTATGCTCTAATATTTTATTAAAATTATTTTTATGGCATTACAAGGAAATTACAAAAAAAAAAAAAATATATGAAATATAGTAACAAATGACTTATTAAAAAAATTAATTTCTCTATACACACATCTTGTTATTTACTTTTATTTTTCAGAGTAATATTTTAAAATCTTTAAATATATATAAAAAATATAAAAAATTTAATAATGTACAATATTCAGATTACAATAAATACTGTAAAGACATTTGTAATTTGGAGCCTAGTTTCCCTGGTGTGAAAGATTTATGTGCGAAGATTTCAAAGAACTTAGAAGATATAGCTTCTTTAACAAAAAAAGATGAACGAAATGATAATTGTGAAAATTTTTACTATTGGTTATCTGATTATATATGGAATATGTTCGGGAAAAATTCAGAACACCTTGAAAATAAATCTGAAGTTCTTAAATTTCTTAGCGTAGTTTATGGGATTATATATAGATTAAATATTCCAGAGTGTTTATTCCATTATAGCTCCTATGATAGAAAAGACATTATAAATGAAAAGAAACATTTGTATTATTATTTTAAATATTATAACATAATTAGAAATCTTATTGATAATAACAAAGAAGAAACACAAAAAGAAGATTACTGTCAGTACATTAATTACACAAGAGATCTATATGAAAAATATATTTCAATATGCTGTTCCTGTTTTTCTGATTCCAAGGAATGTTCTGAGTATTGTAAGGAATATTATAAATGTGATAAAAGTTATTATCCTGGAGACTTACTTTATAAATTAGACTGCAAATTTGACATACCAAAAAAAAATGTAGATGAATTATTTAAACAAGTAACAATAAAAAAAGACGATTTAATTATGTTTCAAAAAGGGATAACAAGGCCTTCGATTCAACCAGCACAGAATGATCCTTTTTACAATATTGTCGTATTTGCCTTTAGTTTACTCGGAATTTTTTTCATGTTTTTCATATTTTATAAAGTAAGAATTGCAACATAATTTTTTGCAAAGGTGTGTTCCTAATTAGAATTTATTTTTCTTGAATATTTATGAGTTAGGAATAAATACACCAGATCCGTTTTATTCTTTTCTCTATATATTAGTTTACCCCATTTGGGTCTTGGCTACACAAAAGAAAATTAAAGAAAAAAAACATTAGCTATGACATTCGTGAAGAATACATGAAGGAAATAAAAAATAAAGGAGGAAAAAATGCCAATTTAAAATCAAAAAATAGAAGAATGCAAATAGCGTATCAGAATAATTAAGTCTATTTTGGATATTATAGAGAGGAATGTTGAGTTTTTAGTAAAAAAGATGTTAAGAAGTATGTAACCCTATGGCTGATTAGTGCGTTTAGTTATTATCGTGCTAAACTAGCTATGATATATATAACTTTAATCATTGTTCAATGGCTAGATGAACTGTTAGACATCTTTTTTAACTTTTAAACTGACAAAACAAAATATGCTTAAGAATATGCAATTTGTTTGAAATAGAATAAAGAACAAACAAATTATAGAAAATTAGTTATATTGTTTGAAAGACTACATATATTTATGAACATATTAGATATATGACAAACATAAGGAAAAAATTAAAAAAAATATGAAGTTATCAATACAATATAATATTATGAATTGAAAAGCATATCTATATACATATTGTAATTACTATTCTGTGCACAATGGTGGATTAAATTCCTTATGCTAAAAATTATTGGAATGGCTTTGAAATGGATTATATAAATGTTTTATGAAATATTAACTCTAGATAACAATGGAACGTCGAATGTGAAAATGGTTTTAGAACAGATATTACCTTTCGACAGTATTGTGTATTAAAGTTTTTAAGAGACTAATTATTTGTTTTATGTAAGCTCACATACTTTTTTTTAGGAACACAATCTGCAGTTTTTTTTTTTTTTTGTATTTCCTGTAACCGTAATGAATATATACTTGTTTTCATTTTTTTTTTTTTTTTTTTTTTTAAATTGTCTTAATTTTTGTAACTTTGGAGTATGTTTTTAATAAAAAATTCACTATTCATTTTTGTTCACAAACTTTAATTGTGTGTTTATAATTTTTTTCAACACTTTATGACCTATAGTAATGAAAGGCATTTCCGTGATTTATTAAACATTTTAAATGTTTTTTTCTATATTTTATTAATATAGCATTTTTAATATTGCAATATTTCAACTTTGGTATATTAATGAATAACTCTTCTAAAAAATAACAGGACATAAAATGAATAAAATATTAAATTATTATTAACATAAAAAATGGTAGTGTTCTTCATTTTAAGCTAATGATTGTTTATTATTTTATACTAATTCAATTAGGTTTGTGAAATAAATGTAATTGTTAATAAAAAAAAAATAATTTTTACTTTGTTAGTAAATTAAATTACACAAGTAAATTAAATTAACCTAGCTAGAACATTTGTAAACATATCTGTTCCAAATATATTTTATTTAACATTTAGAAATATTTACTAACTTTCTCGTAGTTAATCAAAGATAAAAATTGTACATTCAATAATAAGCGTGCTAATTGACATTGCTTCTTCCATAGAGTTATATACACACATTTTTAATTAAGCATTAATTATATTTACATGTCCATGTGATTACAACATTTTCATTTTGAATGAACAGTGCTTTAGCGGTATATTATATTTTCAAGAATATTATTATAATTATATATTTTCGAAAAATGCATGAATTCTTCCTTCCTTTATTATTATTTAAATTATAGTGTGTATTCTGTAGAATACCTATGCAGAAGAGCTGTAATATATGGGCACTTGGAAAGGACAATCAAACTCGGAATATATTCGGTAATAGTACTCTAGACAGTTACATGTTTTTTCCATAATAATGCAAGAAAAGTGTTACTATTATATTTTTGATAATGTTCATATTATTATATGTTTTTATAGATTAGGTATATTTTTATCTCCTTTTGTTATCCTAGAGGTATAATAACATTTTTATTTTGCCTCTCTAGTACTATATTATTTATTTTTTTTTTTTAAATTTTCCTTAAAAATAATATTTTTCATTTATTAGTATGCATGTTTATTAGTATTAATTAGTAAATGTTTGTGTATTATAATATAGTAAATTTAATGTTTAAAAAAACAAAGATTTATGTTTCCGTTCTTTAAAAATACAAAAGATAAAGAAAAACTATTTTTATTAATAGCTTTTATATTATTTTTTCAGTAACACATGAAAAATTGAAATGATACTCATGTCTTAAACATTTTTTTTGGCCTTATAAAAATTTTTATTTTTAAAGTGTCCAATATATTACATTTGACATTAATAATGTTATATTTATATAGTTAAAAAAAAATATATTTCAATAGAAATGAATTTTGCAACAACCTGTGAATTAAAATAGAGAATATTTATGTACGAATGATAGTGTTATGCAAGTAAATATGAAAATAAAATTCGTTATAAACAGGGTTGAAAATAGCTTAATCTTCACGTCTGTGCACAAATAACTTGATGAAGTTAAATAAAATGATGCTTCAAGACCTTAATGTCAAATAGCTCTATTTATGTGTTGTATAGTCAAGGAAAACTTAGATTTCCTATGTAGAGTATTAAAAGGATTATATAGACAATTGTATAAATTTAATTATTAAAAATTTCTTCATTATCATAGAAAAATATGTGTCGGATTAAATGTGGTAACTCTATATGTCTTTGTTATTTTTTATACTATATAATGTTAATAAAAACAATTATATTTTTACGAGTGCTGACATCACAGAAACTTTCTTTATAAAGAGTTGTTACACATATTATACACACAATTGAAATTCTTAGCATTAGAATAAAAGTTACAATGCAATTTAAGGAATACAAAAAAGAAAAAAAGCTATAAATACTATTACAATATTTTATTAATATGGGTGATAATATAGTTCGTAAAGCTATTGAACAATTGAAAAACGATGTAACTTTCTAATTTTTATTATAATTATATATTATAAATTTTCATTTTAAGATATCCCTTTCTATTTAAGTGAAAAAAATATAGGAATTATTAAATATTTATATATGTACATTTTAAGAGTATTCTTCTTCTTTTTTTTTTTTTTTTTTATTTGTAGGCTACTTTTAATGAAACGAAGAACGAAGAGTTCTACTATTTATTAGAGGATGAAACGGAATTCAATCGTAAGTATGGCAATTGTAGGTCATTAAAAAATGACAAAGCCATTATTATTTGTGATGTTGTTCAAAACACAATAAATGAGTGGGATGAATTTTTAGGAAGTTTTGATTTAGATAAGAAAAAGTGTTGTTATTATTTGATATATTGGTTATATGGTAAAATAAGTGAAAATAATTTTTCTAATGAAACAATTAATTTGATTTACTATGAATTTGAGAGAATTTTAACGAAAAAATGTTTTAAGGATGAGGATAAAGTAGAACTATATAAAAAATTTGTAAAATCGTATGACGTGGATGTATTAAAGAATAAAAAAGTGTTATATGATTTTTTAGAACATTTTAGTGAATTAAAACGTTTATTAGAAAATAGTCTAAATGATGTGCATAAAAAAATATTTTGTGACTATATAACATATGTCATTAATATATACCAAAAGATTGAATTGAACAATGATAGGGTAGAGTACTGTCCTGAATTAATTAAATTCGAAGAAAATTTTAAGAATACAAATGAGTTAGATGTCATAAGAAATAAGTGCAGTGGTTCTATAAATTTAAAGATTAATGGAAAAAATAAAGAATTTTGTTTAGCATTAGATGGAAACCCCCAAGAAAGAGCAGCAGTTCAACGCAAGAATGAGAAAATTTTTAATAAAAAAAAATTCTTTGTAAGTGAACCTTTAAAAGGATATATGGAAATATGGAAAATACACTTGAATAAATTCACATTTTAACATCATTTTAAATGAAAATTTAACTATTAATTCGAAATAAATAAGAACTACGTTATTAAATTAAGAATTTATATTTTTAATATTCGTTTTATATTTTAAAATATAGGATAATAACTTAAAGGATGTTCCTTATAATCAAATGTACGATGAATTCAATAAGGAAGAAGATAATGAAAAATATAAAGAATATTGCAATGATATAATTAATTTGGAATCATATTACAATGGAATTAATAATCTTTGTAATAAACTCACGAGGAACTTAATAAATGTTTCTAACTTAGAAGATGAAGCAAAACGCAACGATGCATGTTCATATTTTATTCATTGGTTATATGATCAATTAATGAACCTAGATTATGTTAAATCAGATTATAGACACAGCAACCCTGCAATTAGAGGAATTTATGATGTAGTTATTAAAATTAACATGAGAGAATTTATGTATACAGGGTGTTACGTCCACTTTGATTATACATTAGAACAATGGAAAGATTGGAAAATTTTGCATGATTATTTCAAGAATTGTGACTGTATTATTGTGGAGAATACTGATTTAAGTAAGGAAAAATGCGAAATAAAATGTGAAGATTTATATACAATTAATGAACTCTATGGAAAATACATAAAACAGAGTTGCACATTTTTTAGTAATGAACAATATTTTGCTGAACACCCAGAATTTTTTGAATGCAATCAAAAATGTAATCCATACAACCTTTACATACGCTTAAAGTGCAATGATAAAGAACCTAATAAGATATTTAACAAAGTAAATCCACCTGAATCAATTGAATACTATTCTAAATATTTGACAGAAAAATCTGAGAAAGAACGCTTATTAGATGAAAAAATTCCAAATTCGTTTATCACTTCAATGGTAGGAGATGACATATCATATCATAATCCTTTCTACACAATTGTATTGGCTACTTTTAGCTTATTGGGGATATTTACACTTTTTTTCCTTTTTTACAAAGTAAATTTAATTTCGTATTAAATTATGGCTATTGCATAACACTGCTTATTATTTATGATACATATAAAGTACAATTGTGTGGCAAACAAATTATATGCATACCTGATTTTTTCATTTATAACATAGTTCACTCCATTTGGCACCTGGATACATAGAAATAATAGGAGTAATAAAAAATATCATTATAATCATTACAATAAATTTAAAGGGGAAGTGTTAGATAAAAATTCACGACCAAAATATGTAAGCACTCGAAGGGGTAGAGTAAGCATAGCCTACCAAAATAGTTGAAATATATTTAGTTAATAATACCTGACAAAAGGGATAATGATAATAAGAAACATAAATGGAAGTCATCATGTGCAATAAAATTTTATGAAAACTGATAAGATGAAAATAAAAATTATTATAAAAAAAAATAGTACTAAATCGAAATTGTGAAATAGAATAAATAACAAGATAACAAACGATTAAACTAATAATTGTGAAGTAGGTGAAAAATAGGAAATACCATAAATGGTGAAGTAATGCTTTCATGCCTATATAGAGCAATATTAATTCCATTGAAACGTATACATCTAAAGACATGAAAAGTGTTTATATAGAAAAAAAAAAAAAAAAAAAAAAACGATCATTGAAAGAATTTACCAAAACTGAATACCCCTGAAAGGGATAAAATACATTACAATAATTGTTAAAATGTTTTTTCATGCAAATTTAATTAATATTTCATGAAGGATATTACAATATATACTTACAAATGAGACAATTTTAATGCTCATATTTTGATTCGTCATGAATATCATTATGATAGCATGAATTCATTTGTTTTTTTAATTTAAAATTTATGTTTTTAATATTATAAATTTTGTCAACATTTTTTTTTAAATTAATTAATATTTTAACATTCCTCGTTAAGTTGTTTTTTCATATTTATTTTAATATTATATTTTACTATATTATACTTTATTATTGGTGAAGATTATTTAATACAAAACTTTTATGATGACGAAGACTTGTTTCGTGTAATATAATCATATTAATACATTTTTGTAATTCATGTTTCCTTATTAAATTTACGTCCATAAGAACATATGCGTATATGTAATTATTAATAATAAGTTAAGAATTATGCTTAATATTTGCAAAGAAGACCTTTAAAAAATATGTGTTTTCATACGTTTAGTCTTATGATTAAGTAATTTAATATATAAGAAATATGCTGTTTTTTCTTGTAAGCATATTTCATTGAGAATATCGTTAAAAGCAACACACTAAATCCAATGATCATGTAAAAATTTTATTTTAAATTCATTATTTATGTGAAACGTGTGTTTGCATGTACATGTGTATTTTGTTTTTTTAAAAAAAAAAAAAATATAAAATTATTTAATTTTAATCTTTTCACTTAGTGATCAGAGAATGTCTTTCTAATTATATAAAACTATAATAAGAAAAATAATAAATAAAGGAATTTCAGTTATGCTTTCGTTGTAAATATAAAGAATTTCACTATTAAACTTAATTGTAATAGGAAACTAGTGCATAAGGATTATTAAATTAGCATAAATGTTGTGCCTTTTGTTATTCTAAAGCACAGTATATGGAATTATTATCCATTTTAAAGTATACACCTTTACGTGATTATTCCTTTATTTAATTTTTTCTGTACTTTTTTGTAAACACACGCTAAGCAATTTCTTTTATTTACCTTTTGGCAACTGCCTATTATTTAAAAAAAATAATTATATCATCATTATTTGTGTCTAATTTTGTTCTTGTTATAGAAATATATATTTGACAAAGCATATGTTATTATAGCAATGCCTTTTTCTAAGGAAATACCGTAGTATGTGGTGTAGCATATTACTTATTTAACACATCTTTAATAATGTGTTCTATTATTTAATAGAAAATGGTAATTAACATACATATAGGATTTTTCTGATATACAAATAGCATAAGCGATATGATAAGATGACGCCCTATTTGTTTGTATGAAATCCAATATAATTAATATAACAATTTATAATAATACACATTTTGCCGTATATAAACATTTTCAATTTTTTTTCTCAAAATTATATATAATAATATAAATGAACTTGTAATTAGTAATTTGATGATTTGAATGCTAACGGTTCATATATATGTAGACTTTTAATTTTTGTACTACTCAAAATATTGTTTTATAATAGTTTTATATATATCTTACTGGTCTAAATATATTTCTAGTAAAATGAATAAAATAAAAAATTGTAACACCTTTTTTGGCATTTAATTACAAAGAAGTTTGCCTTTTTTTTTTAGATAGTTTAATTCAAAATGTTTAGATTTTCGTTTTTTGTTTAATTGCATATTTAATATTGTTAAATTAGAAACATTATACAATTTATATTATTTTTTTTTGTGATAAAAATAAAAATTTAAGTTTCGTTTATATCAATATGAGGTGGATTTAGTAGACAATTTATTTAACTACATAATAAAGAAAGATCATTCATAAAACAACAGAATAAAATTGCTTTGTTAATAGCAAAAAAGGATTTTTTTGAAAAAATAAGGCACTTCAGATGTTGTATCATACCTCATAATTTTTTTTGTATACTTAATTTATAATGTTTTTTTTATGCGACCTTTGCAAGGAAAATGAGCTATTTCATATTTACAAAAATAGTGTAATGTATTTATTTTAGATGCTAATAATTGATTTTCACGCAAAACTGTAACATTTAAAAAAATATCCTTATTATATCTTTTAAAAAATGCACTTTATGAGGAATATTTTATGATATCGAAAAGGTTATTATTATAATTAGATACAAATAAGACTATATATGTGCCCATAAAGGATAATTTCGTCTTTAACGCAGAATTAATAATACTATATAGTATGCTTACAAAATAAGCATTAGTAAAATAGTGGAATTCTAAAATGGGTTCGAAATTTCCTAGAATTGTTATATTCCACAAATTTTTTGTTTATTATCCCGATTTAATATTTTTACACTGTCTAACATGTATATTACTATACCATTTTAGCACTAAAATATAATAGAAGAATAATTTCAAGCATTAATTTTAGCTGTGAAACCAGAACATACGCAAAGAATTTTTATCAACAAATTGTGTCCTATTATATTTTCTAGATATAGGCTGTTTTAGAATACTGATTAGCATCCGCTTGATCTTATGTATGCGTAGAAATATTTGTAAACTTATAAATGGAAAAATAATGGGTATGTATATATTTTCCATTAAAAAAAAGTGTTTTTGTTTCGATCTTTACACATTATATTAGTAGATTGACATAGTGAAAACAAATCTTGTGTATAGCAAAAATGTAAAAATTAATACAATATATATTTACTCTTAATCCTAAGCAAATATTTTTAGGGGACCTACTTTTATATAAATTATATGAAGACTTAAATAAAGAAGAAGAATATAGCAAAAAAAATGATTAAAAAATATATTGCTAAAATTTTAAAAAAAATTATGATGATGAATAATGGGGTTAATGATTTTTGTGTTAAATTGTAAGAAATTTAAATGTTATAGGAAAAAAAAAAAAAAAAGCACATAGAACATGATTGTTTAAGTTTGAATTATTGGATATTTGATGAAATAGCAAAAAAAAAAAAAAATAAAATAAAATAATAATAATGAATCAGAAGTTAATTATTACTGTGCTATTTGGGTGTGCTTTGAATGAGCAAAAATGAAAGCTTTGCGTGATCTCTTTAAGGGCTTTAACGAAACTCAAAGGAACACCCATTTTTTTAATGGAAATTTCAATTTATATTAAAACAACCTGAACTACATGAAAATGATTACTAAATCTTTGGAGATATACAATTCCCTGAATATTTTTAATCTTGCAGATCAAAAATCTTTTAAACTTTTAAGCGAATATATATAACATAATGAATAATCGTCCATAAATATTTCAGGAGACGCAAAAAAAAAAAAATTTAACATAGTCCGAATTAGGTAACACTGTAAAATAATTAACAATGTGATATACTTAAATAATAAAAATAAGAAAGGCAATAAAATAAAATATAAATGTGTATTTAGTGTGTATAACGTGATATCACAAGAGTATGAAAAAGCTGATAGTGATTTATTAAGACAGATATGGGGAATTACATATGGATAGTTAACATGAAAGAACACCGTTAATTTACAGATCTAAAAATTAAGCAAAAAGGATAGCCTGGTGATGGAAACATAAAAATTCAAAACGTGAGAACAGAATAGCTTTATTTGCTGAAGTTGCACAATGTATATGTGTTTCTGTATTTTAGGGAAAAGGAAATTAATTATTTTTCTAATGAAAACTGTAATAAACTCGGGATATGCACACCATTATGAGAAAAATGTGATACATGATTTTTAAAGAAGTGTTAAAAGTTATTGTCTCACAAGTTGAATGATGCATAACAACTGTTTATGAAAATGGTTAATATAGAATTTCAGAACATGAAACCTGTGTAACACAAGATATTTTTTTCAGTAATAACATAGAAATATGACCAAAACTGTGAGTAGTAGAGTTATTTTTCTTTCATTATAAGGTGAGGAAAAAGCACACTTTGAAAAGAAAAAGATTTAATGCTATTAATTATAATTTTTTTCACAAAATTTTTTAAGCAAAAAATAAAAATATTAGTACTGTGTTCCATATTATTCTTATTCACACTATTTTAGATCCCTTGCACATTAGTTAGAAGGATATTAAGGAAAACATATTATATATATAAAACTGATGAAGGATTTATCAAAAAATTGCTAATGAAGACTTTATAATATATCCAGATTACTTAGAATACTTAGGGAGTGATTCTAGTTCACAATCCTGAATATATTACTTTGTACCAATTTGGCCTCTAATGTAAAGTGTTCTTGCAACGGCATTAATGGACGTGCACTCCTAATCTATGTTTTCTTATCTAATCACATAAACGTATAAAAGAGAAATAAACTTAAAAAATGCTTTCCGATGTTTTAACATTTTTCCCTTTCTCATAAAATTGTAATTTCTATATAATTTCAGCATACTTATTTAATTTTTTACGTGGTAATTTATTTTTTATTTTGTGTAACAGATTATGTTTTAATTCTTATAAATTTTTATGCAAAGGTTATAATTTTATTTTACACCATTTATTTTTTACATGACAGATTTAACTCTGTTATTTTATGTAATTACTTATATCTTTAACATGCCACAAATTGTGAAAATATGCCAAGTGAACATTGTTTATCCACAGGATTTAATTAAAAAACACATTTATTCAGCATTGCTTTGTTTTTTATATTTCTTATAACAACGAACTATATATTACCGAGAAATATTATAACAAAATTGTAAAATAATTTTATTTAAATTAAAATTTCCGAATTGTATTTATATATTGACCTTGATCATATTTTTCTATAAATTTTTTATAAGTTTCCATTTCATTTTTTTTATATTAATAATTAATCATTTTTTTGAAAATATGTATTCATATTAGAGTTTAATCATACAGATAATAAGTTGCTTAAAACTATTCAATGAAACATTCATTTAGTTAAAACTAAAATCTCAATGTAAGAGGGCTATATTATGCTATTTGCCTGATATGGATGTTTTTACAAGTACAAACAGTTCCCTTATTACTTAGTCAATATGGTTGAGACAGAAAAAATACCATTTAATGTTGACAAATTCGTGAAAGAGGTACATTTTTATGACATTGTTACATGAGCATCTAAGCTGAATATCTTTTTTTGTCATTAATAAGAGCGTCACGTGGATAATTAAAGTTGGACATTTTACTTTTATTTTTTTTTTTTTTTTCATTATTCATAGAGTGACACTTTGAAGAGTACTGAATTAATTAAATTTTATAATAAGTTAAATGAATATCTGGTTAATACTAAGACACATTCTGAGAATTGTGCTGATATAACTGACCCAAAGCTTAATCTCCTTTGCCTTACGGTTGAGAAAATATTTGATAATTGGAATAGTATATGCAATTTAGTCGCCAGTTCGAAAGATAAATGTTATGATTATTTAAATTATTGGGTATATGGGAAAATACTAGAGTATGACTCTGGACATTTATATATTTTTCAATTTTACAAAAGACTGAAGGAGCTTTTAAAAAAAAAAGTTAATGTGGCACAAAATGACACATACAGTAAACATTTTGAACAGGTAACTTACAGGGATACATTAAGAAATAAAAAAGAATTATTTGATTTTGCACAATATTATGATTATATAATTAAAGTGATAACTGGAGAAGCATCAGGAAAAGAGGACCAACATTGCAAATACTTTATGTACATTTTGGATATATACAGTATTATAAAAAATGAATATAGTCAAGAATTATCTAAAATATATAACAAGGAGGCAAAATTACTTCAGTCTAAACTTAATGCAGGAAATAATTTATATTCTTTACTAGATAAATGTTCAAAGTATGATGAACCTAATGGATATCAGAATATTGAAGAGTTAAAAAGTCGATTTCATAGGCAAAATGCTGAAGGGGGAGCACTAATACATGTTCCAATGCCAGCTGGTCTTGATATGGTTAGCATAAGAATCATAAATGAAAAAAAATAATCAAAATAATGACTAAATACTTCATTGGGGTATTTGTTTTATTTAGATAAACATTTCTTTTTTTTTTTTTTTTTACATATGTATTGCATTCATGAACTTTACTATTTTTACTTAATATTTAGAAAACAATTTTAGAAGAATTGCCATCGAATAAAATATATAAAGAGCTTAATAATCATGAATCATCAACAAAATATGACAGCTATTGCAATGATTTAGGAGGTTCGAATACAGAGTTAAAACCACTTTGTAGAAAACTTGTAAGAAATTTGAAAGATATATCAGAAAGTAAAATAATGAAAGATCTTACACATGGAGAACGTTGTCTACATTTTATTTTCTGGGCTTATGAAGAAATAGGTAAAATTTTTAATTGGTCATGGAGAAATGTTCACAGTATACATGATGCTAAAAAATTTCTTGAGGTTTGGGGAAGTGTTAGTGTAGAAGCAATGAAAAAAGGAGTTAGTGAAAGAGTAAATTTAACAATGAATCAAATTGATAGCAACTGTACAAGGAAGGCAAGTGATGGTTCATGTATAAGACATAGATTTATAAAAGATCTTGGAGGTGATTATGCATTAAATAATTATAAAACTTGTTTATATTACATTGACTGCACTTATAATGAATGTAAAGAAATGAAGTACTTGCATGATTACTTTAATAACTTTGAAACTATCAAAAACAAAATTACTTCTACCACAACATGCCCAAAGTATTATGCGTACCTTGATTATATAACTAAGTTATATGAAAAGTATAGATACTCTGACAATGGAGATTGCTGCAATTGGCGTGATTGTGGTGATTTTTTAAAATGTGGTGAAGATTTAAATCCGAAGAAATTAAAAGAACTTTCAGCATGTAATACTGAAATTTATAATTCAGAAATATCTGATGATGGTAAGGGTGAACACGATGAATTTGAAAGTTTGTGGTCAGGTTTTAATTGGGAAGATGAAATTTCTGCATATGATACAGATGAATATGGATATGAAAGTACCCATTACGGATTACCGGATGTGGATAATTTTGCATTGAATGAATTCGGGGATGTAAAAAGTAATAAAGTGGCAAGTAATCAAAAGAGATTATTAAAATTTTTACATCCTAAGAACAAGATAAAATATATTTTTCTGATTGCAGGAATATCCTATTTAGCATTTGCTTTGTTTAGGGTAAGTGTAAATTATAGCTTTCACATGAATACCTTAACTTATTATAACCATAATATATATTTCATTATATGTTATAACGATATTATGTATTTTTTTTTTTTTATCATTTTATCACTTGTATTAGTATACACCCCTTGGAAATTGGCTGATCGATAAAAATTTGAAAAAAAAACAAAAGAATGATTTCGGTATTTATATAGATGAAGAGGAATCGTCATTGTATGATTCATGGGATCATGATGCATATAAGAGGATGCTAAATTTAGGTTATTATCCAGCAGAAGAATCCGTGTATTATTAATGCATAACGAGTCTGTTTCTTTATTCTATGTGAACAATGTTGTGAAGCATGAAAATAGTACCTAATATTAATTTATGTTTAATATGAATAGAGAAAAAACAAGATTTTATTTAAAAAATTTGTATTTTGTCCTCTTTAAATGTGTTTAACTTATTTTTATTTTGTAAATATTGAATACTAATTTTTAGTAAGTTACAATTTTGTTTAACCCTTTTTTAATTTATATTTGTTTCATTTTTTGTTAATGTTTATGCGAAAAAATAATATTTTGCGGAATAACTTATAATTATAATTAAATATATTATGTTAATATTTTTAACAATTGATGTTGTTTCATGTTAAACATAATAGGAAGGGAATAAACATATATTCACACTTTTAGTAGAATATTATACCAAAAATTTTAAGGGTTGATTGAAGAGTGAAGGAAGTTGTTATTTGGTTATTCATATTTTATAAAATGTAACAAGAATGTTGCAGATTTATGCATTTTATGGTTTCTGATATAATTCGTGTTTATATATTTTTTCATATTTAGAGGAGAAGAAAACATGTAAGAGTGTGTGTTTAACGATAGGGGCACTATTACGAATCTATTTTTTATAATGTTTAACACGAACTTTTTTTAAAACTTCTTATCACAGCCTTTAATTTGCAGATAAGAAAATGAGATATTTTTCAAAGGTGTAGTGTAGCATTCCTAAATTATTAATTTCTTCCATATATTTTACAATTCATAGGTATATTAAGTTATATTATTTATCTGTACGTACGAAAATTCATAATTTTTACAAAATGTAATTTTTATACAACAGTAAAGCGCAACAATTAACAAATGAAAAAAGCGAGATCAAGTTACAGGAATAAATATTCCAACATAATTAGGGTAAATCACACTTTGTAACATAACATGTATGATAAGTTTGTTTCTCGTGTATTTATTTTGTTTTTAAATTAGTTTATTCGCTCAGTACCCTGATTAGGGAAAAAATGCTACGATAAAAAAATAATTAACAAGAAATTGCAAGAATGTAATACTTAAGGATTTGAATTACAATTTCAAAAATTATGAAATCTTTTATGTTTTTAATATTAAAAATTTATTTTAAAGCCATTTCCACATTTAATAGAAAATTGTTTGAGTGTTACGATTTATATTAATGTCATGAGAATAATATATGGATATTTACCCAAAAAAAGCAACATAATCAGATAAGTTAATGTGTAGAAGGTTATCTCAAAATAGGTGGAAGTATAGAGTTTTTTAAATATATATTTATCCAATTTATGAATGTTTACGTATTTATCTAAATAATAATAATAATATAAAATACATTATTGAGAATGCAAAGTATTTAAAAATAATATCATATTATTATTCTAGATATATATTTGATAATGGAAAATGGGAATATAATACGCTGAACAATGATAAATATAGACCTTTTATCAATTTAAACCGTTTTATTCATTGGAAAGAAGCATAATTAGAAATGGATGAAATGTTCCAAAAAATAAACTTTCAAAAGTGTTTTTAAGCGGGTTAAAAATACGGAATGAACTGAAATATATTAAAAATTTATAATTATATTTATTTGAATATTTCAAAATATTATTAAATTATGTACACATAAAAAAGAAAATATAAATATTTATTAAGTATATGTTTTGAAGAATGATAAAATGATAGCAAATTGAGCACATTTTCATTACAGATAATATTCCTTTATGTAAGAGAAAATAAATATACTTTAAAAAAATCATTGTGGAATTATAATTCATCGAATGTTACAATGTAAAACAAATACACTTTTACATTTTTTATTCTCAAATATAAGCAATAGTACAATATACTTTTCGAATGAGATGAAGATTTGTTCTGAACAGTTTTAATGCATTACCTACCTATATATTGCCCTTTAAAAAAATATTGTATTAAAGAAAAGTTATCCGTTTTTCCTTATTAAGCTAATAAAATATTGGGGTCATCCAACATTCCTATAAATATACATTGTTAAATGTATGTATTACTTATTGCTGTTATTCAAAAAAATATTTCTTAACTAAAATTTGTGTATAATTGTAAAAGTACACTTAAAGAAACAACTTTTATTTCTTTATAGTGTACATACTTTTACAACTTATATTAAAAATTCTGGAACATTTACATTCCTTTTAATATTATTATTATCCGCAAATTTATAGAATTATGCTATTAAAAATTTTTTACATAGATATGGAGAAAATTATAGTACAAAGAAATGCGTTATTCCTGAAAAAATTATGTATACAAGATTGTTGTATGAAAAATAATTATAAAATCTTTGTTTTTGTAATAAGAGCTTATACATTAACCAAATTATATATATTTTTTTGTCCGTCTAAGAGTATATAAACAGGTATAAATGTTGAATAATTCTTTGTTTAATTTGTTCTATAAATTTATGTATTAACAAATATTTTTTTTTTTTTTTTTGAAAATAAATGTAATTATGCTAGCTCATAATTTGAATAATATATTTTTTGTTTAATGATACGTTTATAAAGAGCACAATTTAATTTTGTAAATTGAATTTTTTTGATGTTCACTACTTATAATGCATTATGCCAAATATAGTAAATTTTTAATAAAATAACACGCTAATAATTTCAAACATTAATATTATAATATAATGAATTTATTTATATCACAAGGTATTATTTTGGAAAAACGTATTGTTTATTACATTTGTTTAATTTCTTTTTTATAAGCGTTAAAACAGTAAAAATCACGCTCCTTAATATGCTAAATATAAATTATAGAAAGTGAAATAATAAACACAATACTTATTAGACTGTATAAATATATTAGGATACATGTACAAAATTTTCTATTGATTTAGGATTATATAACAAAAATGACATAATATTTGTATGGATATTTCATATAACATTCTTATCGTTCTCTAAATTTCAATATTCTATAACATATGAATACATTTACTAAATATATGTCCTCATAAAATTTAATGATGTCATGTGAATTAAGAGTTATTTTATATTAAAATATATTTTGGAGGAAATATTATTTGTTAATAAATATTTAAAAAATCAGTAACGTACCTTTGAATAATGCCTGCAAGTACTATTCCTTCAAAACTTTATAAGAACTAAAAGACATAATTTTTTCATACATATTACTATTTTAGTGTAATATTATTACCAAATTTGTCATAGTAATATTTCTATGTCATATATTGATTACCTACAGATTTAACTCTATGTTATGTTTATTATATGCATAGAATATTAGGAAATTAATTTTGTTTGCTTTTACATATTCGTTATTGAATTATGGTAACTATAAAATATTATATTTTAACGCATTTTATAAAATCCTGAAAATGAAAAAATATTTTTTAACAAAAGTAAATTAATGATACAATAATAAATGTATTCACATATAATTAATACAAAAACAATAACAAAATCTGTAAAAAATTATTGAAATTAATATTATAAATATATATTTTCTTTTTATATTGTGTTGAATATATATTATGATCAAAATAGCAGTTAAAATTGTATTTCAAACAGAATAATTACTGGAATGACAGTTATATATATATTAATTTACTACAATACATGTATGCAAGAAATTATAAAATTAACATTTAATTATTTATTGCTTTTGTTATTTTTACTTTCAGATTGTATGATTTTTTATAGGTTTGTGCAACTTTATATGTTAACATAATTTATTACCTTACAGAATATATGTGCGCTCATTATCCACTGTACACTACATACATGTACCAGATATATAATAGAATCATTGTTTTTATGCAATATTTATTTTTATTAATATTTACCTTTTTTTAGAGAGCTATTTGATTTAATGTATTGTTAAGTAATAGCCTATATTATTTATTTATATTAATTTCGCAAGCAATCATGCATCTTCAAAAATATATTACTTGCATATATTAGTAAATTTAAGAAGTTCCTGCAACATAGATCAAATATTACCAAGATTAACTAATGCATGCATAAATATTACACATTTATAAATATATTCTCTATAATGTGATTGTATTTAACTGTTTATTTTAATATTGTTATATTCACATACAAAAAATTCAGAATATGATTTTAATGACTAAAATATGCCCATTATGTGTTTTTATTTTTTTACTATTTATTTAAAAATGGCATGTAAAAAATGTATTTATTATTAACTTAAAGTTTTCTTTCATGTAATTTACTATATTATCTAAAATAGAAACACAATAGGATTATTTAGAATAAAAAATGCAAGATTTATTATGTTTAATTTTATATTAAAGTAAATTTAAAGATAAAATATTCATACATTCATAGTAATTATATTTTTATCCATGTGTAAAATATTAGGAAGCGTAAAGGAAATGTTAAATTAAAATATTTGAATATTATTCAACAAGAATACATAAATTACATACATCCAGGAATAATTGTATCAACTGAAATTATTACAAAAAAACCTATGATTACTACGCTTTTTTTAAAAAGGAAACACATACTTGCAATATTGTAAGAATGTATTTTTATGGTTAAATTATTTATAAAAATACATATAAATAAAAAAAAAAAAAATCCAAATAAGTAAAAGAACAAGTAAAATCAAAAAATGAAAATAAGGTATGGAACCTTATAAATCTAATACTTGTGTAATTTAAAATATTTAAAAGTAATAAAAACTCATGAATAATTAATTAAATATATAAATTAATGAAAATTAATATATATAACTAATTAAGCATATTATGGGTCACATATTAAAGTTTAGAATTAAAAGCAATAAAATATATTTATGTATAAAGTTATATAAAAATTATATAAAAATAATTCTAAACATTATAAATTTAATATAAATTATTTACATATATTATTTTCTTCTTCTTAACTGATATTATCATTATTTATATTTGTAATATTTCCATTATTTGTTGGTGCTTCATGCTTGTTTAAAAATTTCTATA